AAAAGAAAAAAGAAAAAGAAAGCTCCGCATCAGGGGTCCCATGTCCACACATCTCCTCTTTGGGACACTATATTTTGTATTCCCTTCCTGGTGCCCAGCAGCAGGGCCCCTGCCCACTCCTACCTTCTTAGCCTCATTACCCTTCGGGGCTTGGGAGCAGCAGAGCCAAAGAGATGGGGCTACCTGCACTCCCAAATCAAGAAGGCCGGGCCCAGCTTTCCCAGGCCTGGGATGCCCCCAGGGCCGCAGAGGGTTTCCCAGGCACACCCCGGCCAGGCAGAAATGCTCTTCCCCACCCGACTCCCGTTTCTCCAGGGCTCTGCCCCAACGCCTACCCTTCGCCCTCTGCACCAGCTCTCACTGCAATGGCCCCACAAGACAGGTGCTTCCCAAAGGCAAAGACTTTAGGTCAGGGCCTGGCACCTGCTTGGTGGGCACTCTGTCAGGGCTTGCTGAATGAATTAACCAGGAATGGCCAAGGTACCTGTAAGACTGCACAGCCTAAGAGACACTAGTTCATATGTGATGGAGGTGTTCATACTGTGTACATATACATGTGGCATGCACAAAACACATGCATGCAAACTGCACACGGTCATGCCCTGATGTCAGCAGAGCTGTGCCCTGACACCTAGCTTACTCACCGGTGCACAATAGGCACTTAGGGAGAAACTGCTGAAAGAATGGATGGACGGATGAGTGCTCTGTACTGGGTACAGAGTGTACTGGGTAAAGGGTCAAGAGCTTGGAAGGAACAGAAACTCACCCCACCCAGGATGGAGGCTCAGACGAGATGACAACACTGTCACAAGGCACAACTTGACCCATGTGTAGGAGGATAGTGAGACATGCACTTTGAGGCAGGGTCAGTAATGACATTGGCCACAGGGAAGACCATGCCTACTGGGCCCTGGCATGGAGGTGAAACTAGCAGCCCTGGCTCCTGCCCTGGGGGCCACCTCTGTCTAGGAGGGGCAGGAGGGCCTCCTAAGGAGGGGGTCTCTGGCAGCAGCTGGGCTGGAGAGGGCAGGCTCTCCAGGGGTGCAGAGTGCCAGTACCAGCAAAAGCCAGGAGGTAGGAAGGTGAGGGCCACATGTGGAATATGGCAATTGCCCAAGAGGCTGGAGCATGGGGGACGCGGGGGAAGAAAGAGCTGGACTGGCCCCGGAGGAAGGAGGTCAGAGGTGTTTAGACAAAATTCTCAGAGCATTGCATTCCAGGAGCCCCAGGCCTGGGCTCCCATGACCCAATTTCCAGGAATAAGAGCAACACAGGCCTCCTGCCGCAGGTTTGCCTGCTCTGGGGGATGTGCCTGGTGCTAGGCAAGCCCCACCATGAAACCCCACAGCTGGTCACTGCTCACAAGCGGTGGCCCCAGAATCAGACAAAGCAGGAGCCGGCTGTCTCCAGGGCTCCTTTTCGTCCCTCTCACTGTTAGAATACAACTTCATTTTTCTGGTTCTAAAGGTTTCTAACCCACTCTAGAACACCAGGAAAGCACAGAGAAAGAAGCAGGGCAGTGTCCCCGCCTCCCACCATCCTGGCCATGACTGGCGTCTGGCCAGACCTTCCTTGCAAGCCCTTCTCTTCCCCATGAAGCTTTTGCTGGAACCAACATCAACATGGGTTTCCTGCCACCTTCGGGCAGTGCACATTTTGCTCTACGAGGCTTTTCTTTTGAAACGAAGTTTCTCTCTTGTTGCCCATGCTGAGGCACAAAGGCACAGCCTTGGCTCACTGCAACCTATGCCTCCTGGGTTCAAGTGATTCTCCCACCTCAGCCTCCCTAGTAACTGGGATTACAGGTGCCCTCCACCACGCTCAGCTAATTTTTGTATATTTAGTACAGAAGGGGTTTCACCCTGTTGGCCAGGCTGGTCTAGAACTCCTGACCTCAGGTGGTCCACTGTCTCAGTCTCCCAAAGTGCTCCTGCTCATCTACACCCATAGCTAACCTTGTTCCTGCTGAGAAATGTTCTGGCCTGGGGACAGGGGAAGAGGGTGGGGTACAGTCTCATGTGGGCCTGGTGTCTCCTCCTCACACCACACAGGGGACCCTCAGCTCTCTGAGGCACTCTGGGCAAGTTTCCCAGGGCCCCAGACTTTAAGGCTCCCTCTGCAAAATGGGTGGGTTTGGCTGGCCACGTGTCCTCTCTTGGCTGATCCCCTGAGCTCAGCTGTAGCCCTCGGAAGGTTTTCCGACCCTGGGATATGGGCACATGTGAAAAATAGAGCCATACCTTCCAACCCACTGTGGGCATTCAATGAAACCGTGTGTGTAAGATGCTTTGTTAATTGTAGAGCACCACACAGACTCATCGGGTCCCTCACCCATCGGGCAGGCTCTGTACTGCAGACACTAGACACGAGCAAACCACCTCCCTGTCTAGCACTCAATTTCCATACAGTGAAATGAGGATTATTTTGGCACCCTGGCCCATGGTTCTTGAGATATGAAAATTAAATCACGCAAGAAAACTCCAGCACCTCTTTCCCGTTCATGCCACAAATATGAGTTAGAAATGTAACATGCAGGCCGGGCGCGGTGGCTCACACCTGTAATCCCAGCACTTTGGGA